GAGGGGGCGGGGGGGGGGGGGGTAGAGCTGCAATAGGACATCTATGGGAGTAGAGCCACAACAGGACAGCTCTGGAGGCTGGAGCTGTAATGGGACAGCTCAGTCTTGGAGGAAAGGTGTCTTTACTGGAAAGGCAGGCTGCCTGAAGCTGGGGTGCAGTGGGAGATGTTCTCCCAGCAGGATATAAGGATCCTGTTCTTCTCCTGGAGAAGCCGCTACAGCTGAGTTCTACTCTGTTCCCTTACGGGAGGGAGCGTCCTAGCAGAACTGTCTGCTTCTTCTGCTAAGACTCTGCTAAGGAAAGCCCCCTGCAGAAACGTAGCAATCTTCTTCCGCTTAGGCGAAAAGTTGTTACTCCCCATACCAGACCTTGCTCAGCCACCTTAAGGAGCGTCCTAGTAAGGGTCTTCTGTTCTGCTCCACCTTGCTGAGGCTCCCTAGGGAGCGTCTCAGCAAGGTCTTTCAGCTCAGTCCCCTAAGGGACTTCCCAGCCAGGTTCTTCTGCTCTGCGAGCAGCTGAATTAAGGTCACCCAAGACTCTTTTGAGAAAGAGATTTATTTGGGAAGGAGGAGTCCAGGAGAGTGGCTGCCTCTGCCAGGGAGAAATTAAAGACAACTTTTAACTGAAGGGGTGGAGAGGCTTATTTATATAAGGTTTCTTAGAGGCAGAGTTTTCCCAGGAAGAGGGGGGACTGGTTAGTTTTTCCCTGCTCAGGGATTGGTCAGTTTAGTTGGTCAGAGGTAGAGATAGTTCTGACTTCATGGTCAAACTGTGTTTCTTTCACTTTTTGACTTTAATCTTAGGACCAGGGCATATTTCTCCCACTGACTCTGATTCTAGGGACAAAGTGTGTTTTTTGACACTAGTTTCAGAGTCAGGACACGTGTCTTTAGTCAGGGATAAAGATGCTTCTCTCCGTGGTCCAGGTCTCAAATACAGGGTGTGTTTCTTTCTCTGACTCTGGGTTTAGAGTCAGGGTGCTCAGCGATTGGTTCGTTTCCTGCTCCAGTTGTCCCCTTTACCCTACAACTTATATGAATCTAAACCTGTGATACTTAGCCTGTTTGAGATTTTAGCACCGACCTGTGCGAGCCTGTAGGCACCTACATGGTTTTCATGAGGTTTTATTGCTTTCTTACAGCTGAGAACTCTCTCACATAGGCCAGAACCATCATTATAAAGATACAATGTTCAAAAATTATCATTTTGAAGAGCCTGCTCTGAGCATGCAGTGTGTGTGGCTTGTGGGAGTGGGGATCCAGGGCTTAGAGCCATCAACCCCACCAACTGCTCTATCTATGAGCTGGTAGACCGCAAGGAGGAGCCGGTGCTGCAGAACCTGATCCAGGAGCCCATAATGACCACCAAAGATGAACCCTGAAGCATGACTGTCATTGAAGATGGCAGTGGTCACCAACATCTGCCGCAGAACCAAGAAGCAATTCCGAGGAGGCTGAAAGACTCAAGGATGTCCCCATGGGAAGATGCTGTTTAAAAAGTGGACTAAATTAGAACAAAAGATGGTGGGACAGAGCAGCACACGGCACACAGGGGTGGATGGTAAACTACAGATGTAGCGAAAGAGGGCATGGGAGCAATGTGGACGTGCAGCTAGGGCGGATAAATAACAGCAACACTGAACAGAACCAGTCCTCTGCCTGCGGGATGGCCAGAAGCAGGGAGTTGCCACTAGGGCTGGCCATGCTGGGAGAAGGAGTTGAGGGCCCACCACTGCCCACAGAATGCAAGCACAATAGTCGTGCCCAGTACCTCTCAGGGTAGCATGGAGTGGAGGAAGGAGGGAGGCAGTCTAGAGCTTGCTCTGCTCCTGCCCTGTTTGCCCTACCTAGCCAGGACTGTCCTGACTCTGGGCAACACCGGGATATCCTTGCCCAAGTTCAGTGTGGTCCAGAATTGATGATGCTTCAGAAACCACAACCCTTAAACCAGGCCAGTGACTCATGGCAATGAGTGCTGTTTGTGTATGAAGATGTTTGGGCAAATACACATACCGAGTGACACACTGCAGTTTCCAATGTCACTACAACAAATGAATTTGTGACGGAGAAATGGGAAAGATGGAGGAACAAAGCAGTGCAAAAAAGAGGAGGGAGGCAGAGCCATGCGGATGTCCAGGCCCACGCTATTGCTCGGAGCCATGTTGATGTGTATGCAGCCTATACTATCACCTGAGTCCATGGTGATGGCTGTGGCCATGTTCCCACAGAAGGCCATGGGAGCCACGTGGATGTCCATGGTCTGTGCTACCGCCAGGGCCATAGTGATGTCCGTGGTCTGTGCTGCCACGGATGGGTCCGTGGTCCTGCTCCAGTCAGACCACGTTGATGTCCGTGGCCCCTGTTCTCACGAAAAGCCATGCCGATGTCCATGGTCTGTACTGCCATGTGAAGCCATGTTGATATCTATGGGCCAGGATTCTGCCAGGGACCGTGTTGCTGTCTGTGGCCTGTACTGACTCTAGGGACCATGCTGAGGTCCGTGGCACATGCTGTTGAAAGAGGCTGGGCAGATGCCCACGGTGTGTACTGTTGTTCAATGCCACGTGCAAGTCTATGGTCTGCGCTGCCACTGCCTGACTGTAAAGGACAGGGAAGCCTCTGCAGTGTCCATGACGGCAGACTCAGTGGAGAACGAGAGACACAAAAGGCTTCTGCAGCAACCCCCAAGCCCCACCCCAAAGGAGCAACCTAGCAAGGAAGCCTCCCAAGAGAACTCCTGAAAATCGTGATAAGGATGCTGACGTGTAGGTCTCCAGAATAGATGGCGACTGATGGGGTGCTGGGGGAGCAGGGGAGGACTCAGTTTTCTTTAAGGAGCTGGACACCGGAAGTTTGACCACGCTCCAGTGACTATATGAACAACACAAATTAGGCTTCTTTGTTATTGTTGTTGGTCTTTTTGTGAGGGAGGTTAGAAAGGTGGGGAGGAGGTGGACTGGGAAATAAGAGTAATTGGGGTGCATTATGTGAAATTCCCAAATAATCAACAAAAACATTATGTTTAAAAAAAAACTCTTGAGTAGGGAGCGGGCCGCGCGGGACGGAGGCAGGTCGGCGGAGGGGAGCCGGAGCGAGAGCGGTGGCGGAGAGGGAGCCGGGCCGCGGGGTGGAGCAGCTGCAGCGGGACAGACTCGCGGGATATTAGAAATGGCTACTCCCCAGTCCGTTTTCATCTTTGCGATTTGCATTTTAATGATAACAGAATTGATCCTGGCCTCAAAAAGCTACTATGATATTTTAGGTGTGCCAAAATCTGCTTCAGAGAGACAAATAAAGAAGGCCTTTCACAAATTAGCCATGAAGTACCACCCTGACAAAAATAAGAGCCCTGATGCTGAAGCAAAATTCAGAGAGATTGCAGAAGCATATGAAACTCTCTCAGATGCTCATAGGCGGAAAGAGTACGATACAGTTGGACACAGTGCTTTCACTAATGGCAAAGGACAGAGAGGGAGTGGAAGTCCTTTTGAGCAGTCTTTTAACTTCAATTTTGATGACTTATTTAAAGACTTTAATATTTTTGGCCAGAACCAAAACACTCGGTCCAAGAAGCATTTTGAAAATCACTTTCAGACACGCCAGGATGGCTCCAATAGACAGCGGCATCATTTCCAGGAGTTTTCTTTTGGCGGTGGATTGTTTGATGATATGTTTGAAGATATGGAGAAAATGTTTTCTTTTAGTGGCTTTGAGACCACCAATCGACACACAGTACAGACTGAAAATAGATTTCATGGATCTAGTAAGCACTGCAGGACTGTCACTCAACGAAGAGGAAATATGGTTACTACATATACTGACTGTTCAGGACAATAGTTGGTTCTTCCAGTTTCCATTAAGCCCTCTTAGTTTATTCTTTCTCACTATATGTGATGAAAAAACAGTTTTCTCTGAACTATTTTAACAAATGCATGATTTCACATAACATTAAGCCATTGGTTGTAGGTATTCCATATATTAAATTTTTTGACAGATTCAATCACATTCAGCTAGCAGACAACTCTAATTATTAATTTTCCTGATTAGGAAAAGTTCTTTTGAAAGAAGATCATTTGCAAGATCTTTTTTTCTTTACCTATCCTTTAACTCTTTAATTTGGCCACACACGCCCAAAAAAATCCACGAACAAAATTCAATTTGTCTGGTACATATTTAAGATTAAACTTTAAAAGATTAAAAAAAAACTCTTACTTCTTTCTTATAAAAATCTACAGAGTAATAGATGTAAGCTTTCAAAAGAATGGGCTGTGTCTGCACCCAGGTTTATATTTGTTCCCACAAAGCAAGAGAATTTGAGATAAAATAACTATCTAATAAACTCTATTTCTTTGTGTAGTCAATTTACCAGATTTTCTGAATAATCTGCCCAGGAACTTGAATTCATAAGTGCTCCCTGAGTGACTATCATAAGCTCAAGGCTTTGCTAAAAGTGACTGAAAATGAAAGCCAGGGAGCTCGGTTTCAGGGCTCTCATAACCAGGGAGGGTTGAAACTTACCATTCTGTAGTTAATAATCTCCAAAACTTTTTCAACCCAAAAATATGAAAAGACTAGTTTATGCTCAGTAGACCTTTGGGTTCCCAGTTCCAGAGGGAGAAGAGTCTGCGACCACGAGTAGTAACGTAGCAGCAGGCAATGTATAGCTGGTAGGCTAGCAAGCTGAGGGCTTGCTTCTTAAACCACCGGCAGGAAGCACAGAGGATGAACCAGGAATGATTTGAAACTTAGTCTTCCACCAGAGACTTATTTTATCCTGCAAGGCCACACCTCTTAAGTCTTTCCAAACAGCACTGCCAACTGGGAGCCAGGCATTAATACAGGGGGACAATCTCATTCAGATCATCACAGAAGCCCATGGTAGGCAAAGGGCTTACTTGTGTGACCTGTCAGTTTCTTCTAAGACCTGTGAAAACTTGATAAAACTGATGTGGGATGTCCTTCTGTATGTGTATTGTTTTTTTATTGGTTGATGAATAAAGCTGTTCCGGCCAATGGCTTAGCAGAATAAAGCCAGGTGGGAAATCGAGAGAGAGAGAGAGAGAGAGAGAGAGAGAGAGAGAGAGAGAGAGAGAGAGAGAGAGAGAGAGAGGGGCCAGACATTGGAGAAGACAGACACTGGAACTTTCCAGTAAGACACAGCCTTGTGCCTGAACACAGATGAAAATAAATGGGTTAATTTAAGATATAAGAGCTAGGCAGGAATACACATAAGCTATTGGCCAAACGATGTTGTAATTAATATAGTTTCTGTGTGATTATTCAGGTCTTGAGCAGCCAGGAAATGAATAGGCAGCCTCTGCTTACACAGAAACATCTGATTGCAGGGCTGGGGAGATGGGGCAATAAAGGGCTTGCAGTGCGGGTACAATGAGCATGAAGGCCTGAGCTCAGTCTCGGGAACCCCAGAAAGAGCTGGGTGCAGTGGTTCACCCAGCAATCCTAGTGCTTCTGGAGAGTTCTGATCTGTCACACTAGGCAACTTTGCCAGCTCCAAGGTCAGGGAGAGTAACTGAGTGAAATATCTGACCCCAGCCTCTGGCCTCCATATACAGGTGTACTTGTGCAATACACCTATACCCATACATGCAATTACACACCAACGTACATATTTTTTCAACGTAAGTATTATTAGGGACACATTTTAAGACAATACTGACCCTATAGTCTTTATTTTATTTTTCATTCAGCATGTCCCCACCTAGTCATTGATGCTTGAATAACTTAATAGTTAAACAAAGTTAACTAGGACCTTGCAAAATCTAAGTCACAAGACAGGATTAGGCTGAGAATGGTCCAATAGCCACTGTCTTAGTTAGGGTTTCTGTTGCTGTGAGGAGACACCATGATCATGGCAACTCTTACAAAGAAAAACATTTAATTGGGGCTGGCTTACAGCTCAGAGGATTAGTTTCTTTATCCTCATGGCATAAAGCATAGCAGCATTCAGGAAGACAAGATGGTGAAGAGGTAGTGAGAATTCTACGCCCCTAGGCATGACTTGAGCATTTTAAACCTCAAAGCCTGCCCCAATGACACACTTCCTCCATCAAAGCTACAACCTACTCAAACAAGCTCACACCTCCTAATAGTGCCACTCCCTATGGACCAAGCATTCAAACACAGGGTCTACAGGGGCCATATGTAGTTAAAAGTTCCTTATTAAGGGAAGAGGCACAGATATTGATGACTGAATCTAAGATCATCCAATGTCTTGTAACATTTGATGCTCCTCAAGTGGAATGTGCTGGTAAGTATTTGATAGTGGCTCTCTGAAAAGAGAAATATCCTGGCCTACTGTGCCCGGGGATTCTCATGGCATCATCTCCATTCACAGCTGATGAGAGGAAGTCCCAGAACATGGGGTTGGGAGGAATGCTACAACTGGTACCGGTGACTGGGTCACACCACTCAGTAAAATATTACACAAGTGCTAAAAATCAATTCACAGTTGGATCTGGTAAAACGATTGGCAGGCATCTCAGAGAAAGGAATTCTATGACAGCTCTAAATACCTGAAGCTCTCATAGGACAATGGGATGGTATTATAGACTTTTGGAAAATGCAAAGTGCAAATGAAGAGCTCTATTAGTCTATAAATAGATGGGTGTTAGCATTCTGTTTTCCTTTAAAAAAAAATACATCTCTGTGTGTGTGTGTGTGTGTCCGCGTGCGTGCACGCGCACACTTGCGTATGGCAGCTACGTGTTTAGAAGTTTCCTGTAGGCTGGAGTGATTGTTCAACAAACCCTAGGAATCTGTTGTCCCTGCCCTGACCCCAAAAGTGGGATTAGAAGCTCACACCACTGCACCCAGTTCTCCCCTCTGGATTCTAGAAGTCAAACTTGGGCCCTGAGTCATCTTGCTAGCCCTTAAAATGTATTGTTTCACATTAAAATGTAGTCAGTCTTCACTAGGAATTCTTTAAAATTGAGAATCCATTATTTAGTATTGTTAGGGAATACATATTTTATTTCTTCTATCACTAATGTGGGTGTGGGGCCACAGGCTTTGGTGTACACATGGAGCTCAGAGGACAATAAGCAAGAATCAGTGCTCTCTGCCCACTGTTATGTGGGCCCCAAGAGCTAAACTCTTGTAGCCAGCTTGTGCGGCAAATGCCCTTACCCCAATGAGCCATATCTCTGACCTGTGCTTTTTTTTTTTATTTAGAGTAGTAAAATTTATATCTCAGCTCAAAAAAATCCTTAAATATTATTCTAGTCCTATTGCATTAAAAATTGGGGTAAATATCCCATTTCTCTGGCTTCTTAGACAACGCAGAATGGATGTTATTCAGCCGCTGGTTCTTTGGGGATGTGGAAAGGGCTGGTCTGCAGAACGCTGGATGCATGGAGGAGTTATTCAGATAAACTGAGCAGTGGGAGTGCTGGCCTCAAACCTGGTGTTCTGGGGTGTTTAGGCTAGCTTTTCCGGTCCCCCTGCCTTTCATCCTTCTGCCTGCTGTCATCTGTCACACGCCCTCTGAGTGACTGGCCACTGGGTATTTCATTGCCTCCTGGTTGCTAATTTGCTTTCTCCAACCTGCTGAGGGTGGAGAAACCAAGCAGGCAGCTCACCTCCTTCACCTAGTGTAGAAGAACGGACTCCGAGAGAAGTCCCGGGAGAGCCTCCTGGGAGGGAAGGGCCACTATTTCAATCCATCAACTTGACATGAGGCTTCTCTATTGAACTTAATCTGTACATGTCCTAAGACAAGAAAATTATATAGTGCAGCTTTGATCCTATACAATTGAACTTATCTTGTCACAAATTGACTGACTTATTGATATTTTGTCTCTCATCCACCTAGTGGGATACTGAATGGCTCTTCCTACCTCAGGACATGCTGAAGAACAGACTCTCCCTACTAGTCAGAGTTGGGTCTGTTGCTCTGCCTCCAACTCAGGGTTCTTTACCACCCTTCATTCATCACCAGCTAGCATACAAAAAGACAAGTCCACTTAAAATGTTGAACTCTTTCTTTTCCGATCTTTTCTCTCCACTAAGACAAATTTTGCCTATAAAATTTATATATGAAATTGCACAGATGGAGGGTTTCAATTGTCCTCTTCCTGATAATGTGTACGCCCAGGAATCCATCACTCCAGACCTGTTACCAACATCCCATCACTCCTGAGAACTCTACTCCCCTCCCCTTCCAATCCCTCATGACAGTCACAGTTCTGTCTGTTGCTGAATTTTGTCTCTGGACTATTTGAGCCATAATAGATCGTGGGAAAATGAACACCATGCATGGCATGTGTTAGTGGCTCACTTCTTTTCTCTGAATGGTTGACTAGTTCTCAAGCACATAAATGTATCACAGTTTGAACATAGATTCCTCTGCTGGTGGACACCATTTTAGTTCAGAGTCCTGAGTCTTCCCTGAATGGTCACCAAGCCAAGGTCAGCAATGTCATCAGACACAACTCAAGTCAAGAGAGATTGTTGTAACTCTGGGTGGCACATAGGCATTCCCAACACTCAAGAGCCAGAGACAGAAAGATCACTTTGAGTTCAAGACAAAGACTGGTCTATATAGCCAGCTCCATCCAGCCAGGATCACATACTAAGACCACCTATTTTCTTTCCGTGCAGGAGGGTGACTAATTGTCAGCTGGACTCCTAGGTCAGTTGCGTGGCCCTAACAATACTCTTCCAAAATTCATAACCTATAAAGTTTTACTGAGAATGCAGTATGTTACAGAATGTAATTTCTAAACATATATAGACAAACACAAGTGTGCACACATGCACATGCGCACACACACACACACATGCATACACTGGGGACAAGAAGGGAAAGAGAAACACAGAGAGGGAAGAGAGAAGAAAGAT